TCCCACGCTCTGATTATACAGGCTATCTTCACTCCCAAGCTCTGATTATACAGGCTATCCTTACTCCCAAGCTCTGATTATACAGGCTATCCTTACTCCCAAGCTCTGATTATACAGGCTATCCTTACTCCCAAGCTCAGATTATACACGATATCTTTACTCCCAAGCTCCGATTATACACGATAACCTTACTCCCAAGCTCTCACATTTTATCATAAGGCTGGCAGGATGCCCTTAAATACAATTTGTCAAAAGTAAAATTAATTATTACCTTTAACGTGAACAATATAGTGACAAACCATCCCAATTATCCTATTTTTTTTTATTTTTTCTTTGTCTAGTTTTGACCTTTGCTGTTTCTGGTTCTGTATGTTGCTAAAACACGACTCTTGCTCTGGGTTGCATGCAGTTTCATACAGTGTTGATGTCTTGTTTTGCAGAGTAACACCCCTGACCACGCTGCTCTCTGCTATTTGTCACTATAACCACTGCATTGCCACAAAATGCTGCATGTAAAAGAATAACGCTCAAAAATAACACTTGATATTTAAAGTATTTTGAAATTGTTAAATATGGTAAAGCATTGTTTAGCCGTTGGTTAGGCTGTGAGTGGTTGACCCTAAACTTGTTTTTTTTTTTCCCCATAAGTCCTGTTATTTTTTTACTCATGCATTATGGCAGAAATGCGTGTGCATGCAACAGGAGTCTCTACCATGGCTACCATTCAGAAATACCTACTGATAATATTGTGGGTAATTCGTTAACAGCAGCACAGTAGCTATGAGAATAACGTCCTCAGTTTGGGTTTGGAGCGAATCACGTTTGGGTCGTCAGCTTCCTGTGTTACAGCCAGCTGCCGAAAAGTAATTGGATCATTATGAATGGAGGCCTCGGACTCAGCGTTTCGACACGGACAAACACGGGTGCCAGGAAACATTGGAGCTCCCGACGTGTTAAACAATGACTGACAGATGCTGTGATATCTCCCCCCAGATGTGCGACTGAGCGTAATTGCCCACGTTGCCGACATCATTCCAGGTTGTCAGTGTTTATTAGGCAAGGACAGATGGATGATTTAACTCCGTCACCATCAGGAATTAAGTGAAAAAAATCTGCTAAATAATATGGCGGGAGAGATGTCCCAGAGTGTGAGATGAGGTGGATTCGTCTCCCTACCAATCAATCATTCACAGTGCTAATGTTCCGCAGAATCTCACTCTAATCTCTTTTTAAAATCACAAATCTTTCTAGACGCTCATAATACAAATTGTTAATCACATTATATGATTCATAATTTCCTCTGTTCTACTCTGCTATATCCACATTGTACTATAATATGTCACAGGAGCAGATTGACTAATATTCAAGGCATTTTCAGAAATCCACTGTAAGATTTCCTATAAGTAAGTAAGTAAAATTTATTGATAAAGTGCCTTTCACGGATAAGAGGTCACAAAGCGTTGTGCAGCATTAAAACATGTAAAATTACCATCACGATAAAACAAAGTAGGAAAATATACTGGAAATTTGCATCCAGATAATTATTTATAGCCATACCAGGGCTGATCCCCCCCCCCCACCCCCACCCCACTAGGGGCACTTACCAAGAGAGGCCGGCGAACTCGCTCAGTGGTCTCCATTCCTCGGCAAACCGCGGTTGCTTAACCGCATGTATGACAAGGTGAGCTCGCGCCAGGGTCACCTGACCCCCCCCCACCCCCACCCCGACCTCATGTACATGGAGATGGCATGTCCCCCATGAGTATCCTCTCTGTGCTCCAGTTTCCGACCACAGTCCAAAACATGTTGATTGGCATCAGGGGCCGGATTGTTGATTCCGAGGCCCCATGCATAAAGTACTTCAGGGCCTTTTGCAGATGTTTCACAAATGAAATAAAAAGCTAGTGAGTACAGCTGGAAAATCTGTTAGCTAGCTGGTTAGCAGAACATGCTGCTTCAGCATCTCCTTAATAAGGAACGTGTTTGTAGCCAACAGGGGGGCCCCCAAACCTCAGGGGCCCCATGCAAAAGTTTGGCTTGATTGGTGATAAATCCTGCCATTGACTGACACTTCTAAGTTGCCAGCCTGTGACTCTGGTCTGTAAGCGCGTGTTCTCTAATGGATCGGCACCCTGTCCAGGGTATCGCTTGCCTCACTCCCTGTGCTTCTGGGGATGGGCACCACAGCCCTGTACTGGATAAACGGTCGGTGGACAGATGGGTGGATGGAATTACATTGAGCAAAAGAAACGAATGTGAAATAGGCACGGGAAGTAGATGCGCTACAAAATGAAATCTACACAAGAGTAACATAAGGGAACAAAGCCTGAACTGACTGCTGCAGCTGAGCGTCAACGCGTTAGGTCATCGCGGGTGTTTTATGTCCGAACTCCCTTCCGAAGGCGAGCTTTTACTGCAGGCCGGATGCACTGTCAATCATCAGGGTTAGGCCCTTTTTCAAATAAGTTACAGTGCATGATTGGATTTTATTTTAGATTGCATTAGCCTTAATGGCAAAAGCGAGTGTTATATTGATTTCCTGACACAGTGGCTGTGTGTGCCGAGTTATTTCAGAATAAGTGCTGAACAAGACAGGAAGTCACAGCAGAGGGGGGCCCTCTGTGCCATGGAGGCCGGCGTTAATCGCGGGGGGGGACATGCTGCCAAAGATATGCCAAAAAAAAGTTTTTTACCTGTCCTTATTACAAATGCGATGCATCGTGGTTTGGCCCATGTTTCTGGGTCACTGGCTGATGGGGGCCCTGTTGTTTTGGGAAAACTGATGCTTCATAATTGTTGCTGGGGGGGGGGTGAGCAGGCTGTGTCAAATTATCAGTGTTTCAAAAGTGTTGTTGCCACACGCGCCTAGGTTTGTTTTTTTTCTGGGGCCCTACTCAAAAAGTCACTTTAGGGCCCCCTAAGTGTAGTGACTAGTCACCATTAGAGGGCTCTCAAACCCTAGTGGCCCCACACAGATTTGTGAGCCTTGTGGGCCTCTGTGCCGAGGGCCCATCTGTGGGTGATGCGAAGCAAAATAGCCATGGCGACTGATTTAATTGAACAATAATGACAAAAAAAAAAATGTTAAAAATCAGCGTCCTGCAAAAACCGACAACTTTTTATTGAACAGTAGCAGTGCATCCATATATTAATTTAAGCCATGAATCAAAGGCGCTAAAGGAATTATCCATTACAGCGTGCTGCGAAAACAGGCTAGATTCTAGATAAAGATTGATGCACATGTTCAGTCGAATTGAGCACAGTGTCACTTCACCATAACCCTATAAGACACACTGCTTGAGACAGCGGGTTGTGTACTGCTTATGGAAGTGGGCTTACAATGAAAAAGTAATGTTTAAGTATTGGGGAGTGCAAGCCCGACTGCCATTCCCCGTAGGGAAAAGGCTGCCGCATGAATATTATTAGTATTCATAAGTTATGCCATAAAGCGGTTAGTCGCCTAAGCTGCTCTGGATTAGCTAGCTGATCAGCGGCATGGTAAACCGTGACGTATCCCTTAAATGTTTTTTTTTTTTCCTTTCTTTTTCACCCTTTATGCAGAAAATGCAAAGCGTTGGTGTTAGCTTGCTGGGGGCAGGGGGCATGGGGGGTTGTGGCTATGCGGACAGTCCTGTCTGCCCTTGGTCCCACCTGGGAGCCCATGTCCGTATGCGAGTGGACACGGCTGGGTCCCGATCCGGCGTGTCTGTCATTCTGGAGACACGGGGTCTGGTCCCCAATGGCAGGGCAAGTGTCAGGTGCTACCCTGGGGGCCGACGGGGGCAAGACGCCTTTGAACCTGTCTGAAATCAGTCTGATCACAAAGCTCCTGTCAGGTCCATCAACAAAGAAACACTTTGATTTTTTTAGCTACTTTGAAACAAGTCACATGCTCGTATTGATCAAAACAAAGCTTATAACTTATTGGCCGAGTTAAGGAAAACTTTAATGGTACTTTTCTGACATAAATAAAAATTACATTTAATTGCCATTTGACAGGAGCACAAAGCCTTGGTAATATATATTGTTATTTGAAAGGATACTGAGGAAAGCCAATTCTGTGTCTGTAGATTCTAAAGTTTGCTAAATTTAGCAAACACGTACACTTTAAGTGGGAACATATTGCGTCACGGTTAACGAGAATCAAAGCGTGAGATAATCGTTCGGTTTGCCCTTGTGTCGCTCCTTTTGTGGTGTGAATGGTATCACATGCTAACCATATTCAGTACAATGAGCATTCTGTCCCCTTGCTGTGGCAACGCCAAGGTCATAAATCAAAATTTGCTCTCTTTACGATCGAAAAGCGGTACTGCCATCAGACAGAGATTGCTCTTAAGGTCGTTCCCAGTTGACTAAGCTTAGCATTGGAGGTCGCGAACTTAGTGGTCCCGAATGATCACAAGGATAGCCAGGCTGTGACAAAGGAGTACTGTGAATTCCAGGAAGCATTGTATGTGACTGCTGTCAATGTCCAACTTTATTAACGAATCCTCCACAACCCTTGATGTTCAATGCAGGCCACAGAAAGGCTGATTATTCGAATATGGCTAATGAGGTGCTTCTCTAGCTATCGAAGACAAACATTTGCTGAAACATACGCACCCGCCAGAGTGGCTGGAAATCTTTCTGCGCTCATGTGTGGTGACAGCGAAGACAGTGTTTATTGCTCTGCCCGGATCTATCCTACTTGTGCAATGTGTAAACATCTGATATCTATTCAAAAGCGTGGAATTTGCTCCCAAATTAGACTTACATTTAAACTGAACTTATATTACAGAAAGAAAAAAAAAATCTGAAAATGCTTTGGTTCTCTCTGGGGGACGGGGACGGGGAGGGGGGGGATGCGGTTGAGGTTTACGTCACAAAGGGAGTCGTACTGTGATTAGAAACATTACGGGATGAAAAGTTTCCAAGCATATGGACAATAAAAGAAGATGGTATTCCCATATGTTTCTGCAGTGTTTTGTACACACCTATTCTTTGAGCTAATTTTCACACGTAATTAGAATGACACACCTCCCAGTGCAGAGTTCATTATCATTTCTAACGCACTTTGCAGTGCAGCACAGTTCTGCTGTGTACCCTCTCTCAGCCAGTGTTCAGGAACGCAGTGCTCCTTAACTTCATATGCCGGTCTTTAAAACAAATAGCCTCTGCAGATTTGATCTAATAGAGCAACCACGTCAAAGCAATGTAAGCCTCTGTTCGTAATGTATTTTTCCACTAATCTGAGTAGTCTGGATTATAATCTAAAAAGCCTGGAGTGTTTATTTTATTCCCAGTGTTGTTGTTCATGCTCCCATAAATAGTAGCATTTTGCGATGGATAATTTTGTTCAAAGTGATTTAACAGCACGCCATTTTCTCCTGTACACCGGCAGATATTTTACTGGAAATGTACCTTGTCCCGGGACACACTGATCTGCTCTGTTTTTTTCAAAAAGCGTTAGAGTCTTTTGGCCAGCAGCTACTGCTACAGGAGCTGCTCCATGCTGGTTCTGTGTGTGTGGTTCAGGTATACCTTACGTTATGGGAACACAATGTCCCCACAACGTGATGAGTACCAGTTTTTTTTTTTTTTACCTTATGTGGTCCAGTTTAAGGGAAGACTCAAATTAATAAAAATCTGTGACTGCAATGAAAAAACTAAAAATGCAAAAACTCTTGTATTTTGTTTGGTTACTTATGGTTATGGTTAGGGCTGGGTAGGGGTTAAGGTTGTTATAGTTAGCGTTAGCATTTTTCCCATAGAAATGAATGAGCGGTCCCCATAAACACATGTGTACCTGACGTGTGTGTGTGTGTGTGTGTGTGTGTATACATATACAGCTCAGGAAAAAATTTAGAGACACACATCAGAATTTTAACTATACTCATATCTCAATTTATGGGTACAGTATACTTCTGTGTGAAATATAATTTTTTTTTTTTAACTCCAACCTGGCTCTTCCCTGCTTCTCATTAATGAAGGGCTTCTTCCTTGCTTTATGGGACTTCAGTCCTGCTTCTCAGAGCCTGTTACGGACCTGTCCTAGCAGTGCACTTCACACCACTTAATGATTCCCATTCCTTTTGAAGGTCACTCGATGTCATCTTCCGATTCTTGCGGCACTGTTGGAAAAGTTAACGGTCATCCATTAGAAAGTCACTTCTGCCCTTTACCTGGCTGGTTTCCAGGCATTGCCGGTCTCTCCCGTTTTACCTTCTTCTTGTCTACTGCGGTCTTTGAACCTGGAAGGAACCTGCTGCTCAGCATAGCCTTCTGGCAGCAGAACCGCAGATTCCTAAAAAATATGTCTTTACGACGAAGGGAGGCGGTCCGATCCCAGTCTCCCCGTCGCCATCGGAAACATGCACCCTTTTGGTCCCGCCCCCTCCCCTTATCCTGCTCTGTGATTGGCCTCTCCCGGCGGTTACGGCTCCGGGGTTCCACCCCTTGATAAATGCAGAGAGGAGCCCGGGCCCCACAGGGTTGTAGTGGTCTTCATCACAGCTCACCCCCCCACCCCCCACCCCCCCCATTTTGTGTTTTTTGGGCGGATCAGCGGCGTGTGACTAACGTTGGGATGCAGACTCAGGCACCCCGGCCCCTTTGATCAGCATTCCGCGTAACGGCTAAAGAATAAAAAGAAAGGAAGGGTGCTAAGAGGAAATAATTGTGTTTGTTACAGCTTTCCATGCTTCATCAGATCGGAGACGGCTGGCTAATGGCTCCGATATTCAAGGCACGTATAAAATTAAGGATTAGTTATTCCGAAAAAGCCCGGAGCAAGGCTATGACTGGCTCATCTGACAGAGACACTTGGTCTTTTAGATATCCCTCCTCGATAGCTGATGTCGAGATCAAAATCTTAATGACACATTTCTCCGCTTTCATAGTAAATATGTCTCCCATATGATGAGCTGCAGGAAATTATAAGGCAGATGATTGTATGCAGATATGCAGAGAGAATTTCCGCGTCCTTTTCAAGTCGTTTCTTTGTTCAAAAAATAATTTTGAATCGGAGCCTTTAAATACTATGATCAAATTAAAGCCACTGTTAAATCCCCATTTCTTCCCTGGAGGTGAAGGGAAATACAGATTTTTATTTTCTTTATTTTGCAAGCAGCTTCAGAGGTGGTAGGGAAATCTGTGAATGTCCTTAAGTTAGTACTTTGCCATGAAGAGTGAGAGGGACCTTGGATGCGATGTATCCGGTGCGGGGTTTATGAGGAAGGCTGAAGAGCAGATTAGTTCCGTATTTAGGTCACAAGCATGAGCACAGGGCCTCAAAGACGAGTCAGACGCAGATGAGAAATAAGCACGCAGCGGAGAGAATGCTGCGGCACCAGCCTTCCGTCGGCCTTTGTGTTCATGCTGTCGGAGTTTTAGAAAAAGGAGGATTTGGCAACTAAACAATACCTTCAGCAAAAAAAAAAAAAAAAAAAAAAAAACCCTGATCCTGATTCACTGTGTCTATACTTCTGAGGCTTTTGCACTCTGTGTATTGTATATCAGCATGCACACTCTTTTAGAGAGTGTATGAATTTGCTCGTTGACACTTTGCCAGGCCAGGAAATAAGTTTTGAGATCTCGGATCAAAGCGGGACGTCATCGTCTGTTTCATCGCGCAGCAGCCCCTAATTTTGGCAGAGGATTTGATGTCTCACGCCATCTAAACTGTGATTACAGAAGGAATGGGGCTTGTCGTCTCAAATCAGACTGCTCTTAAGTCCTCCCTTTGAATTGATCTTTGTGATTACTGGTCTTCAAATGCTCCCTTTTAAAGTTACATGAACTGTCTTATTGGGAGAATGATACATTGTTTAATACTAGAGAATGTAATTGCAAACTATGTAATTACAAATGTGCTTAATGAGTTGGGGGTGGGGGGGGGTGAGCAAGCTTATACAGATTGAAAGTGATTGCCTATTTCCAGGTTAAGTAAGTACAGCAGTACTTTAATTTAACAGAAAGATAATTAACAAACAATGTCTTGTTGTACTATGGCAAAATCAATGGCGATTAAAATTAACACTGTTTTCTTCAGTTATGCTGAAAGTTTGGCTTGTTGTGCATTCAGGTGTAGGAAATGACGTCTTTAACAGCGAAGCCAATAAAGATTACTGGGCAACAGACATTTTATTGTCAGATGCATCCTGAAATCAAACGTCTGTGACTGGAGCTTTGATCAGGGAGGTGTCAGCGTTCACCCTGGCTGAGTGGAGTCCTGCACCCAAACCTGAAACCAAAGCTGTCAGTTTGCAAGCAGTGTCACAATGAAAATACTATTTAATATGCACATAACAAGCGGTATTTCTTACACAACAGGGATAAGTCAAAAAGATGCAAGTTTACAGTTTTATTTGTCACATATGCAAACGTACACTGTACATCTTTGTAATGAAATGCTATTTAAAAACAGAGAAATGTGTTTCTATGGCAGTTTGCATGGAACGTCAGTGCTGGTGCGATACCTGTCCCCCATCTCATTTTACACGCCCAGCGCAAAGTGACAATGCGAGAGTCACCCATCTTCAGCTTCTCCCCACGGCCGCCGGCTGCCACACCGCTCCCCCCTCACTTTCTCACTCACGCCCTAAGCTTCAGGCTGGCTGCTGCTCCACACAGATCCGCCCTGGATGATAAATTAGAAGGAATAGCAGAGGAAACGGCACTTCAGAGGACCAGTCTGCATGCCGCTCCAATGTATTATGCAAAAATACTGCTGATCTTGCCCAGTCGAAGTCAGACGAGACAAGAAAGGGAATTAGGTAAGAAGGACACAAAAAGAAAAGCCAATGAAGAATAACTGGGAGAATGTTTACAGGTCAACAAAGTGAATGGTATCTCGATTTCTCGAAATATCTGTGAAGAAACTTATCTGAGATACAGCAGCTATTTTATTCCACGGGAAGAATCACCCCGTCAGTGTGATTTAGGTTTGAACATCTTCCCCAACCTGCTTACTTGCATGGCAAGGGGCTCCAGCTGAAACCTGATGCTGAGTATGTTGAGTATTAGCCAAGACTGGCATGCTTGCTGGAGCTGGTTCCTGCGGCTGAAAGAGACTTCCTGCAGATCCTGACACCTCCCCCACACCATGTCTCCAACACCAGCAACCATCGCAAATTAATTTATTTAAGACTTTGCTGCAATGGAAAGACTGCAATATGCCTTTGCCTTGGAAAGATCTGTGTTTTGCTGAATGTGCCTCTGAAAGCTTAAACTGAGAATGAAAGACGGACGTTTAGTGTAACTACGAACACGCAAAGTAAATATTTCATTAATTCCATAAGCGAATGTTTTATGGATAACAGAAAAAAGCCTCTGGTAATGTGATAGCTACTTATAAATTATAACAGAATCTTTAGAAATGAGAGTTCCATAATAGACCATGCAGAATGACACAGAAATGCTGGATCAACTGATAAAATGTGGTTTATCAATTAAACATTATTGAAGGAGAAAACAATTTTTTTTTAAGTTTTAAAAGGGGGGCAGTGGTGGCCTAATAGGGAAACGTGGTTGTGATCGAAAGGTTGCTGGTTCAAATCCCCGACCAGCAAGTTACCACCCCCAAACACTGCTCCCCAGGTGCTAAATAATAGCTGCTCACTGCTATGTAACGTATGGGTTAAATGCAGTGGACGCATTTCGTTGTTGTGCACTGTATGACAACTAATCACTTCACATAACATATATATATATATAACTGGAATATTCTCTCTGTTATAGGACATGCAGCAGGAATGTAGCATGAAGGCAATAACAGACAACTGCTAGTGTCTATGCAGAAACGGAATGATTTGATACATAAAACCGCCCACTGCCACTGTTTGTGTGTAGACCCTGCTTCTCTCTGCATGCTGCTACCCAGATGTTGGTGATCTACCCCTGAAACCACAAAGGCACGGAGGATACAGATAAGCACTCGCTCGTTGTTTCGGATCTGCCATTTTGCAGAAGTGGCTAGAGAAACAGGGGAGTTACTGGGCGCCACAAAACTGACACATACACACCGATAAGCCATAACATTAAAATAAAAGTAAAAAATAGTGTAGGCCCTCCTCGTGCCCCCAAGACAGTTCTGACCCGTTGAGGCATGGACGCCACTAGACCCCTGAAGGTGCCCTGTGGTATCTGGCACCAAGACATTAGCAGCAGATCCTTTAAGTCCTGTAAGCTGAGAGATGGGACCTCCATGGATCGGACTTGTTTATCCAGCACATCCCAGAGATGCTCGATCGGATTGAGATCTGGGGTATTTGGAGGCCAAGTCAACACCTTGAACTCTTTCATGTTCCTCAAACCATTGAAGAACATTCTGCTGAAAGAGGCCACTGCTATCGGAGAATAATATTGTTACGAATGGGGTGTACTTGGTCTGTAACAATGTTTAGGTAAGTGATACATGTCCAAGTAGCATCCACATGAATGCCAGGACCCAAGGATTCCCAGAAGAACATCACCCAAGGCATCACACTGCTTTCTGTTGTGCATCCTGATGCCATCTTTTCTCCAAGTAAACGATGCACACGCACCCAAACCAACGGGATCAGTCGCATACATGCAAACATTACAGCCCATTGCTCCATGGTCCAGCCCATTGTAAGCTGCAATGCACTGTTTGTTCTGGCACCTTTCTAAAATAGACAGCAAAACTTTTTCAGCAATTTGTGCTACAGTAGCTATATTGTGGGATAGAACCACACAGGCTAGCTTTTGCTCACCATGCAATCAGTGAGCCTTGGGCACCCATGACCCCGTTTCCAGTTCACCAGTTGGCTTTCCTTGGACCACTTTTGATGGGTACTGACCACTGCATACCTTGGATATGTTCTGACCCAGTCGTCTAGCCATCACAATTTGGCCCTTGTCATAGTCGCTCTGATCCTTACACCCATTTTTCTTGCTTCCAACACATCAACTTCAAGAACTGACTGTTCACTGGCCTAAGGTGCCATTGAAATGAGATAATCGATGTTGCTCACTTCACCTGTCATTGGGTTTTAATGTTCTGGCTGATCGCCATAATTTATATTAGATGATTGATGTGATCAGTACAATAACTTATAAATATATAGCTGTATCAGTATTTTTCCATGGCGACTGAATTATAATCATTGCTTTCTTGCTCTTGTTTAATAAGATGGTGCGCCTGGTGGGGTTGTGAGTTTTTGCAGCACTTCTCTTTCCAAGTGATATCGTACCCTGATTACCATTAAAGTTCACACCTAGAAAATGTCAATTTTATACATCTACATAGATCGCACGTATATATACCGATCAGCTATACCATTAAAACCACCTACCTGATATTGTGTAGGTCCTTCTCAAGCCACCAAAACCCAAAACAGCTCTAACCTGTCGATGCATGGACTCCAGGAGACTGAAGGTATCCTGTGGTATCTGGCACCAAGACGTTAGGAGCAGATCCTTTGAGTTATGCAAATTGCATGGTGGAGCCTCCATGGATTGGACTTCTTTGTCCAGCACATCCCACAAAGGCTTGATTGGACTAACATCTGGAGAATCAAGTCAACACCTTGAACTGTTCTTCATGTTCCTCAAACCCTTTCTGAACCATGTGCTGCTGAGAGAGGCCATTGCCATTGGAGAATACCGTTGCCATGAAGGGGTGTTCTTGGTCTGCAACAATGTTTAGGTGGGGGATCCCTGTCAAAGTAACATCCACATGAATACCAGGAGCCAAGGTTTCCCAGCAGAACATCGATAGCCTTTGTTCCCCACATGCATCAGTGAGCCTTGGACACCCATGAGCCCATTGCCAATTCACCAGTTGGCCTTCCTTGGACCACTTGTGGTGAGTACTGACCACTGTATACTGGGAACACCCCACAAGACCTGCCATTTTGGAGATGTTCTGATCGTGTGGCCTAGCCATCACAATTTGGTCCTTGTCAAAGTCGCTCAGATCACTTGCCCATTTTTCCTGCTTCCAACAGATCAGCTTCAAGAACTGAATGTTCACTTGCCTAAGGTGCCATTGCAATGACATAATCGATGTTACTCACTTCACCTGTCAGCTGTTTTAATCTTATGGCTGATTGGTGTATAAATATGTTATACAATATGGGCAAAAGTATGTACTAATTAGATAAACTGCCAAAATTAAGCCAGACCAATTGATAACACAAGTATATTATTTTATACAGCTCAATGGTTTCGGGCACTCTGTCGCACCATTTCATAGATATCCCACGTTTCTTTTGCATATAGTAGCACACAGTATTTTTACCTGTACATTATGCCGACTGCATACATTTTGAAGTCAGCACATATTTAAAATCATCTTAAGCAAGAATTGCATTAGTAAACCATTTTTGGAAGCGTTTCCTGTCATCCCACATTTACATGCATTTACCTGACATAAAAATATGTGTTTTTTTTTTCGCAAGTTCACGCAGCTTTTTCATTGAATGCGCGATGTGCTAATTAAAAAGGCTCTGATTTGGTGGAGCATAGTAAGCTCACTGAGGCACAGTAAAGGTAGCAAATTGCAGCTTAATTATATCTATCAGTTCAGGTAAATCACACTGAAGTGTCAACAGAATTACTTCACAAACTTTTGAAAAGGCTTGTCATCGATGACTTGGTGTAGCCTCTCATCCAGCTTGACTTACTGGGCGCTGGGAAAACGTTTAATTTCCCCCGTAATGTAAACCATGCCCAATATTTAATACTGTCGCCAGTTAGCCTTTTTCCATTTAATGGCTTTTAAGTGTGACTTTGGGGACTGTTGTGCTATTACTTGGTTATAAATATTCATGATCTGCTCAACACATCGGTAGGTTCAGTCCTCTCTGTAGGACAGCTGCATATTGAAATAGTTAAGCTACCAAATGTACCCAGGGTTTACGTGGAAAAAGTCAGATGATTATGAGTACGAAAATTATGTTTGCAACTCTCTTTAATCAAGTTTAAAAATGAAGCAGACAGTCCGCAATTTCATACTGACTGACATGTTTTGGGTGAAAATGGCACCTGTTTAATGTATTATTGTTATTTTGTTAGCCAAATAAACACAGTTACCTCTTGATCTTTTTTTTTTGTTTGTTTTTTTGCTTGGTGATTTGTAGAGATAAAAGTGGGAAATAAAGCGGTGCCACTTTACAATGAAACTACCCCTATAAAGCATTTATGAACGGTTTATAATGCGTTTATTAATTACGTTGTTACACTTTGTAAATCATTATTAGACCATTTTAAACAAGTTATAACCGCTTTTTGTTTTATTAATGAGTTATTACCATTTATATGTGGCAAAAGGGAGCCTTACTGTAAAGGAGTACCACTGTAGCTTTTAAGCAGAAGAAATCACTGAAGTGGTTCTTTAATTTGCAGTCTGAGCCGTTGGAAAGGGGCTTGGATGGGGAGAGACGAATATGACACATTAGTGAAATAAAGCGAGTGACACCACTGCTTGAATAGCGACATAATGAGAAGGCAAAGAGCCTGTGATCCCTCAGCCGTTCCGGCGCGGCGGCTGCCGTCTGCGTCTCCCGCGATTAGAACTGGCATCTAAATCGCATCTCGCACTTAATCGCTTGCCAGGTTCCCTCCGGTGTATCGGAGAACGATTAGCCCCAAGCGTTATAAATCATATTGCATACTGAGCTATAAACGGAGCAGGAACTGTCGCGTGTCACCAGTCAGATTTCCTTCAGTTTTTTAGGATGACCTGAAGGGTTTTCACGCTCCACTGCTGGCGAGAGGTGCACCGCGGGGGTCAGCTCTCTGCTGTAGACTGGTTCATCAGCGGCAGAACTGACCGGGATGTAGGCGGTACTGGTGAACAGGACAAATTCATCCTATTGACTGGAGTTAACCAAACACCATTATGCTGGACAGGTAATTCATTATAAAACTCATTGTTATTCATGAGGGCAGAAGTAAGCCTTTGCACCTAACATGTGTGCACTTAAAAGCCTGGGACAGTCTCCAGCGCTGCACCTCTGAACACAGTACTTAGTCTGACTCACTTAACATCAGGAAATTAGCTACAACCAGCTGTGTAACCTGTAAAATGCGGGCAAGATAAATACCTCGAAATACAATTGCCTGTTTAGCAAGTATCCATCCATCCATTCCAATTCCATAATTACTCACCCAAAACAGAGAATGCAGTGGTGCTTAGCAGCTCAATGATGTAAAAGAGAATTACAAACATCCTCCTCAATGTTGTGGAACAGCCCAGATAGGTTTTCAGCTATTTAATTCATTCACCAACACAAAACGTGTGGCGACATCTTTGGCTCCACCAACCCTGACGTGGACGGCAAGGAAATGTTTTTTGAAGCCATTTTTAAGTTTATTTACTTAGCTCATGAAGCAGCAAGTGGCGTCACTGAACCACTGAACACAACAAAGACATCCATGTCCTACAAACTACGACTGCCTGGAAGACTGTTCTGTTGATCTGTGACATGTTCTGTTGATCTGGATTCAGCAAAGGTCTGGCTGGCTTGTAGATGTGCTGTGTGGCTCAGCAGGTTAGGACACTGTGGCTGTGATCAGAAGGTTGCTAGTTCAAAGCCCAAGGTCAGCATGCTGATTTGGGCCCTAGAGCAAGGCTCTTAACTACCAATTACTCCCGGGGACTGATTGACCCCCACCTTTTCAAAAAATGAACGTCGCTTGGGATAAAAGTGTCGCTAAATAAATAAAATGTAAATATAGTCGTCTGGCTTGTGCTGAAGCTATCGGGAATCATGAGGATGGTGATGTCATGTTTAAACCTCGGTATGTGGCAAGAAGACATCGGAAGCGATAGAATGTCTATTGTACCATAGAATGGCTGGTGTTATCGTTTTAAAAAGGTCGGGCCCTTTTACAATCACTGAGATATTTCCCACCAAGAGAGGAAAAGAGCAATATCTCTAAACTATTAAGGAGTTAATTGCTATTATATTCATTACAATATGCAAATCAGAACATAATGGAAAAAGTCAATATTTCAAAGACACCGTGGGCCTTTCTGCTAAAAAACACTGATCGCAGTATCAGTTAATTAGCAACTGAACAAGCTAAGTAATTAGCAACATGCAAATTGTATTTAATATGAGTCTATTTAGCCCCCCTGCATACATGACAGGGGCTAAATTGCAAAAAATCCCAGTGCATAAATGGAAATAAACCTTTGCGTCTGATCTTCTCGTGTTCATAGGAATGCCAGTCAATTAAGTTAATCTACTAATATGTAAATGTTAGTAGGTCAAGCCTTGCATTGTGTGCTCGTCCAGGGCACCTCTGCCTTCAGAAATGCCCCGAACGCTGTCTGTAATCTCCATTTATAGGTCTCGCTCTTTCTCTTATATATTTTAGTTTTCTCCAGCCTGACAATGAAAACTCGAGTCCTGCTTTCTGAGTCATTCAGCAGTATCTCAAAACTGAAGCTAACTTATTAGATTGGCAGGGAAGATGGGGCAGGGAAGATGGGTGAAACCCCCCCCCCCCCCCCCAGCTGTGTTTGAGGATCAGGCCTCAAAAAATCAGAGCTAAACACGAGGCGTAGCTTTCGGGGGGCAGATAAAGACCACAAGTCTACAGAACCCACTAACGGGATCAGTCGCATACATGCAAACATTACAATGTTTTGATTGTGCGTGTGTATGTATATGTATACGTTTATATGTGCCCTGCAGCCACAGGACCCTGTGCAGGGCGGGGAGTTTGTCTTTCATGGCATCTCTTCAGTAGTGTCGAGATGCTGTCAGGAAGCACTTAGCCGCTCTCTGGCAAAGCCACATCTGGAAACTTCAAACCCAGTGAAGCTGGTTTCTGTGCCGTTCTGAAATGAAGCCAATTTTACGTATGTTCGTATTGTTTTTTTGGGGTGCAGATCTTCCCCTCCAATTTCTGTACCGACTCACCGACTCGAGTTACAAATCCTTTTTAGGATTTAACAAAGGGTGATTTTACACAGTGAAAATGTAGCGATACAAAAGCAAAAACTCAGGGCTGGGAAGAATATTCAGGAAGTAGCAGCTGAAAACACGATAGAGGATTATAATGAAGGGGGCACAAGGCATCTAAGCCAGAAAAGCCAACAAACGAAACTGGCATTGAAAGTAAATAGAAGCTTGTGACGTTTTTAACATGTTTGAAGAATCTCAGGTCACTTATCATTCATCTCTGCAGCCTTTAAGCGGTGAGACCAAGGTAGGCTACTGCCTAAAGATGGTTCAGTGTTTAGAAATCTATTCTGAAGATGTGCAGAACCAGAGGAAGTTGATGTTGTCGAAACAGCCTAGATGCGAAGGTGTTCAAAATAGATTTTTTTCACGTGTAACAGCACATAAGACTCAAAGAGGAAGCTTATACATTATCACTTACAATGTTGCCTTAAATATTACCTGTGAAGTGATCCCTCCCAGAGTGTCTCCTCCTTGCCTAGTGCATCCTGGGATATGTGTCCCATTTACTATGACCCTGTATTAGAAGAAGGGTGGACAAACATTACCTGTAAAGCGTTTGGTTGAATTTCTGAAGAACAAAATCAAAAAAACATAACAATCAAACACACATTTATCACTGTGACATTATCATATAGTTAAAAAAGGAGAAAAACAAAAGTCATTAGTATATAGGTGTCAGATGTGACTGTTGGTGCAATTTCTCAGGTGTACGTTCATCCATCATGCTTGAAAAAGTGGAGTGCGATAATTTGCATGCATAAGCTGGTTTTATCATTATTGTACTTGCACGTTAATTCAATTTGCATGTTAATGAAAACTATGCACGTTTTACTCCAATTCGTTAGGAAAAAAATGCTTATTTAAAAGCTGGACAAGTGCTCCAGGCTTTGTTACTTATTAGAGCACAAATTAAGAACAGACCAAAAAAGGTGTAATGGAGTTTGAAATGATATGCATGCATATTCATACAAGATCAACATTTGGAAAAATAAACGTCCTAGATATAGATACCCTCTGGTCTTTCATTTTGCATGTTTTATGCAGCGTGCACACGTTTGCCCAAAAGGCAGGAGGTGAAGGTGCATAGGCTTCACCTCTTGCAGAAATAATGCAACTGAAGGGGAATCTCTTGCATTGAAGTGCAGATGGATATAGATTCTCATGCAAAAGATACATCGATATGAATCGATCCTAAATATGAATTAGGCATTTCAGTGGTTTAAAGGTTACACTTTTATTAGGGTTATGCTGTCGCTTTAAAGAATAATTTCTAAACTAATCTAAACAAATCTACTAGTTAGCTTTTATTGGTTAGGCATCCAGACGGGTGCTGTTAACTCCTTAGCCTCTTCATTTGTTTATTTGTCCCTTTATTTAAGTTTTGTCAGGTTTGCAGTAGATCAGAAATATTTGAAGGTGCTGGTGATGTGTAAAGCAGGCCCTGTGCGAGTGCGAGAGTAGGGCCGCCACCCCCTGACTGGACGGACGCCATGGGCCCCAGGGCCGACGGCAGGCTGAACTAAAGCCGTTCCCCTGCAGGTTCGGGTTCGAGCCAGGCTGGCTCATGCTGGCTACAGCGCATTACACACTAAAGAAAAGAAAAGAAAAAACTCACTCTGCAGCCACCTGTGGCAGCACACAGGAAAGCCGTTTACCTCCCCCCCACCTCGCTCTGAATATCTCCCGTCTTCCGGTCCTCCCCGCCCAGCGAGGACGCAGCGATAACACACCATGCCACACCACACGCCGCGGCCTGTCCTTCAACCGTTCCGGACTCTTACAGCTTGAACCAAACAAATGTGAAAAAGCCTCACATAGCACAGTCAGCCAGCAAACGGTCTAAAAGTCATTTTACCATTTTCGTTTTATTTAGCAGATGCTTTTATCCAAAGCAGGTGTCAGACAGTCCCTGGAACAGCTGGAGGTTAAGGGCCTCGCTCAGTGGTCCGGTGGTGACATCACTCTGCCAACCCTGGGATGTGATCCGGCAACCTTCCGATCACGGTGTCCTAACCCAGTGAGCCACACACCTCCCCCAAATTATAACACCAATTTCCACAGCACAAATTAATAACATTTTAACTGCCTTTCTGCCTTAGCTACTCCCAGCCTCCGTCCAACGTGGAATTAATGCATGGCTGTACCATATTTATTTTGAACGTAACCACATGACAAATAATAATAATAATAATAATAATAAAAATAAATCAGCACACACAATGTACTGTATCACTAAGTGAACTGCCACATCTTTCCATTAGGGGCAGCAGAATGCCACAGATAGGCTCTGCTTAATCAGAAGCGTTTTTATTTAGCTCTGATTAAGCGCAGAAGATTAATTGGATCTCAACTCCCACTCACAGCCAAAGGTACACACATACTCAATTAAAAATAATTTATACTAAGTAATGCAGGCAGAAATTTCCTATTAAAATATCTTGGATTTTCATTTTTATCAGCAGGTATTATCTAAATTACAAAAAAACAACTATATTGTTTTTTTTCCCTTTATTATCTGGTCTAGGTTTTTTTAAAAAAAAAACAAAGTGGACTGTTTAGTATATACACTCAAAAAACAATTTAGTATATATTAAAAAATAAAACATGTAGTTTAGATGAAAATATTAATAATGAGGGCAATATTTCTCTAGGTCCCACACAGTCGGCTCAGATTTCACGCACAAACAGCTCCCGCTTCCTGTCTGACTTCCCAGCTCCCACAAGACCGGCCCGATAAGACCGCTTGTTGTCTGGACGGCCCCCCGATCATAGGTGAGGCTGAACCAGGGACGAGCGGGTACAGCTTGCCACACACGGCCAGAGCAGGCTCAGTCAAGGACACAGCGCCGGGATCGATGCCAGCCGGTCACCCGAGGCAGCGCTGCAGCAGGGAACGTTCTGGAAGCAGTTCTGAAGGAAAACTCCCCTTGAAGAGGGACGGCTTTGTGCGCTTAACCCTTCGAGGAGGCCGGTGTGGCTGTAGGTGTTAGTGTCTCCTGGCAAGGGAGGTATGGTCTGTCTGCGGATTATTAAGTGGTGTAGCTGAGGGTGGGGGGGGGGAGTCATCAGCATTTTAGGTTGTACTCTCTCTTACATCAGGTACTGAAAACTATAAATTCATTGATAAATTTAGCCCAGTTGCTATGGCGACCGCTTTCACACTTGTTTTCCCCCCTCAATTAATGATCGGTGTAGCCGGGGGCGCTTTACTGCACGGGCTCACCCGGGCAGAAGCCCAGGGGCCCCCACTGAAAAGGGGCCTCAACTAACCTTATTTAAGAAAATTAACCCCACGCCCAACCATTGTTACTGTCACCTTCCCGGTGGGCAACTACAGCACCAGAGGAAATCACAGGCCTCAAGCTCAGACAGCCCAGGGGTCTCGGACCACGCTGACGTGCCTCAGAGAGGAGCGATTCCCATCGGACATTCCTTCGCATGCTAACCTTTAACGATTCAAAAAAGGGACACCCTATTTGGGTAGCCGACTTACAGGGGGTATACAGAGTCTTTGTAACATTTCAACAACTATTTGTTCAAAATTCAACAATTCATATAACACTGGTTGAGTGAGTAGTGAAATTCAGTTACATTATTCTAGAAATATGTCGGTATGTTGAATCGTTACATATACTCTATAAACTGTACGTTCTGTTAAACGTCTACAAACAGAGAATGAGCTGAACTGGGAAATCTCAACAAAGTTGTTGGAACGTCACAAACACCCTGTTAACCCCCCTGTAGGCGGACTATCCAAATAAAGCGTTATCAAATAAAAACATTTAGCTAGGGAAACAAATTTTTCATTGTCATCTCCGGTACAAAGAGTGCTGAATGTTTGCAGACGTTTGCCGAGATGTTTACTCACATATTCACCGGCATTTATGCGAAGAATGCGAACGCCAGTGCTCGGGGGGGCCGGGGGTCTGACAAACAGCTTTGAGGCGAGGGAATCCCCCAGCCTGACTGGTCATTCGCTCCCAAGCCATTAATGTACTGTATGGTTTATTGCCTAGTGAGAGCTGTGACCAGCGCATCAGTTATCAGTGATTGGTAGCATTTCTGTCGTACCCAGAGCCTCTGTTACATCACTAGGTTTGAAAATAAATGGCAAACACACCTGGCACTTGTTATCTCATACATATATATATATATATATATATATATATATATATATATCATACATATATATCATACATGTGTGTGTATAAAGGTTTTCCTTTTTTATTGTTTGTCAGAAATATGCACACGCACATTCATACAATTGCTGGCATGTTATTACTGATTTTTTATGGCTTGGAGTATATGAACAGATAAATAAATAAATAGACAAACAAACGAACATAAATAACTTTGAATGATTAGAGGGGAGGGACCTGCCTGCAGACGCAAGTGCTGCGTCAGCCTCCGAATGGAGAAATTTTACATTGCGTCTTACATCTTGCGTGTTTCATTGAAAATCTTTGACTGCAAAACAAACAGCTATGTGAAAATTTACTAAGGACAGGGGCAGCGACTAAGGCCGTTTTGGCCGAAAGCCATTAGCATCTGTAATTGCTGCATCTGTGCTGATCTGGGATCTGATCATTGACTTCCATCAGACCCTGCTTGTCGCTGAGCAGCGCACTTTGGTGACAGTACCCTGTGAGGTGGGTGGGATAGGCGTTCATCCCTGCGATGGTTAATTGCCTGGCCTCTAGCTAGCCATCTCCCTTTCCCTGTGAGTAAGAGGGAGCCCCCACCACTGACCCGGCCAGGGCCCCACCTGACTTCAAAGAGCGCGGAGAACGAGAGTGACACAGGGGGCGCTGTGCACAGACAGCGGTCTAGACGGCCAAATTTGAAACCGTTCATTTGAATTTCAAATGTGCTGCGATGTTAAAAGAGGGGGGGTGTTTCCCCTTTCATCCCACAAAGGGGGGGTGGGGGGTGGAGGAGGTGTGCCTATGACATATTGGCAGGCAAACAGGCAGAAGGAGCGTACCGTCTGTCCCTCTTTGTCAGATGCCAACGAGGACCGAAGAACGTCGGCCGATCTTCACAAAAAAGCCGACGGGGTCTCCTGCGCCACGCTAACGTTTATCGGGGGTTTTCCCAGCATTTCAACTAATTATTAATTCGGTTAATTAATTAACTGCTATGAAAAATCGCAATTACCCTCTCTCGCTCCAGTGCTAGTGAACACATAAATATATCTGAGAGCAGAAAAATGCATGACTAAAAAACCCACGGGTGAATTACCGCTTACAGACAAGCGTGCACTTATACGCAGCCGCTTTCGTTGTTTGTTTTGGGTTTCTCTGCTCTTGTAAATCATGCATGTTTTTTATTAGGAAAAAGAGACAGCTGAAAATGTGCAAGAGTGCATTTCATGCAAAGGAGCACTGCGGGATTCGGATTGCGCGCTCTCAGGAACACGCAGTAACAGCACAAAACCTTTGCAAACCCTAGATATAATAAAAGAATTCGTAATTAAAAAATACCAATTTCCGAAAGTCAAATGTTTTTTAAAACTAAAAAAAGACATTTTATTTTTACATCAGAGTAAATCCATCAGCTAATTTATATTCTATTTATATTCTAAGAAAGCTTATAGAATTAATAAAACTGGTCTAAATGTGGAGAGAGGAAACGGCACTGAAAGACGGGTAAATGGATTTCCTTTCTAATACGTACTTTTTATAATGGTTTTGACTGAGGATCATTATGCCTGAAAGGAAGAGCGATCCACCCAAATCAGAGCACAGTGGGGTACGAACGGGAAGCCCGACGTGACGCTCTTGGGTTTCATTATACGGAACGGCTGTCTTTCTGGAGGTGTCTTTCCCAGTGCCTGAAAAGACCCCGTTTGATAGTCAAACTCCCGTAAGAGCCTATATAAAACAAATAGAGTGTGTGTCAGTGGTTTTATACTGATTGATGCATTCACAGTGCCATTGTGCAGGGCTGTGGAAGGAGATGATGTCATCGAGAAATCGGCAGGCCATTATGCGAGAGTGGGACCCCATTCTGGCGGTTTGAAACACGGAATATCTCAGTTTTCCTTTCCTCCTTCCTTTGAAACTTGCGCCCCCCCCCCCCCCCCCCCCCCCCCCCCCCCCCCAAGCCCATGCTGACTTCTAAACACCATTAATCTGGGCTTCATACAGCTCCAGTGATAAAAGACTCAGGACAGAGTGCAAATCCAGTAAGACGGCAATCCCTGACGAGTCACGCAACGCAGCGTTTTGATGGACCCCAATTATAAGGGTGATGACCTTGTATTTAGCCTTTGCTGACTACGGCCTGCGTTGACAGGCTTCCGGTTTCCGTTAGAGCCTTTTTCGATTTCCCGACCTGCTCTCTGCATTTTCATAGTCAGAGTTATGTTTATGTTTTGTCAAAAGTTCAGGAATGAGCGTGTGTTATGGGGCACATAGAGGGAATGCCCAATGGTGTCCAAGCTTTACTCGCACGACTACGAGAGCAGCTACATTGTATTTTTGTATATCCCATCATGCTCTCTGTTTATAACACATATAGAGATGAGGGCGCAGCTTGGAGTCTGAGTGCAGGGACAGCTATCCATCCAGCGCAGAGACGAGGCTACTCTGATGAGCACGGGATTCGAACCTGCGACCTTCTGGTCGCAGGCAGAGAGACCTAACTGGCTGAGTCACACACCACCCCCACATGTAAGTACTAGCATGCATCGTGAAAGGTAGACTTGTTAAATATACATGGTTCCATAGTAGAGGAACATGAGGATGTACGTTTTGACATGTAATTCCATGTCTCTCAATGCATCTGAGCCCCTGTGTCAGTGCTGGACAGCCAGGGGATAAGAAACAGCCACGGCCTATTTGAAAACTACACGCCTGCCTGATGAGGCTTTTTTTATTATTATTTGTAATGTCAGTAAATAAGGAGACATTGGACTGCTGTCATGTGACAACCAGAGCATTCAAATCCATTCTGTCTCCTGAAACAGACATTTTAAAGTATGATAGAGGGGAGACTGGTGATTGTGGACTCAAGAGTAGGACTGTCATGTTAATGTCCATTCATCCTCTCACCACTTATCAGTCTGGGTCACGAGTTGTTAGGTTAATGTCTTCAGATTAGCTGGATAACCATATTCTTCTATTGGTGTTTAGTTACCGGCACATAAATCAGGCATAATTTAAAGTACAACTTCAGACGATAGTGATGACATCTCGTAGGATGTGCTTCAAAATGACAATAAGAGGCCTTTAAAAACCAGCGGCGAGTGGCATGAATCGTGTTCTGTCTGTAATCAGCTGCCTTAACCCACTTCCCACTGGTTAGATTATTGGTTCCGGTTGGGTTCAACTGGGTCGTGATTGTCAGTGTGACTCCACCCGTCTTGGGTTTCAAAGCCTCATTTCATCTAACTCTATTTTAAAGCATCAGGAACCCAACAAATCAGATTTCTAATCATTTATTCCGCTCATTACCCACTTTACCTGCATATCCGTATTATATAAAAGTCACAAGTGAATAATAGATGCTCTTTGCCTCCTACTAAAACAGTCAAACAGTCCCCATATATCGCACCCGAACACATAAAAGAACAGAAATTCAGCCTATTGCAGCCAACCGGAGAAATAGAAATGATTTTACTCCACTACAGTAAATGTGTCGATTATGGGATGTAGCACATAGCAGTGATTCCTGGGACTTCACCTCGAAAACGGTTCAAAAAAACAAGGACAAAATAAAGGTCCCAGGCACATCGGAGCGTAGCTAATTACAAAGTACATAAAAACAAACTTTGATCGTAATTCTTCTGTGCACTCTGGACAAGGAATAACAGTTACCCTGAAGAGCAACTCGGCCCTCTCCTGAAGCACATGTTCAGTGACGTCTGTGGATGAGCTGGCGTGTCACGGCGTCATGCCGCATGCTTGCTGGACGGGAGGCACCCGACCGAACGCGCCCGCGTCTGGGTGACCTCATCATCCCTTTTCTTTGACGGTAAAATGATAGCCCATGACTTGGGTCGCATGCTCGGTGTTGGGTGTAGACGAAAGCGATTCTTTAGCCTGCCTGTGACGTGCCAGATGCATTCGGGACTGAGCCGACTTGTGAGGTCACAGGGTGGATGTGAGATCTGCCGCAAGGAGTAGGTTGGACCGGCATCACAACATGGAGTCGACATCCCAGTAGGTGGCGGACTAAGAAGCTAGAATATAAACTAGGGGTGAAACACACAGATAGATAGCCAAAAGAATTTGATATACCTCCCCGCCTTGACTGTTGGCTCCTCTGGTTCTAGCCGACTGACCCGATTTTTTAACCACCTCCTACCCCCCCACCTCTGTTAGTCCAGTCTGGGCCAACTGGGTTTCATTAACTGAGCAGCCCAGTGGGCATAGCGCTGGTGATCAATCACTACGGAAAGGCAAGTGATCGCCCCAAACCCCTGCCCCACCATGGCACGGTGCCCCCCCCCCCACGGAGTTAGGAAGATGAAACAGTTTTTGAGAACCCCCAAAACCTTCTAAGAAGGGAACTCCGCTACGTCCACGGAATTTTTCCGTCATCCGTGGACATAATTAATTAGACTGGCAAAGCGACTGAAAACGTCATATATAATTAGTAATAATTTGTAAGTTTGGTTTCAGATCGGAGTGAAATAAAACCTGCAAAATCATATGTTGTATTAACATAAATTGCTAGCAGTGAAGTTTAAATAGGCGGTTGCAGATTGAAATATACGCAGCTCGTGATCCTCCTCTGTGATCATTGGTAGAAGTTATATTTTTATATTTTGATTGCATGTTAAGTTTTGGCTAATTCTGTTCACTTAAGCATGTGAGGCCTGATATTAAAAGTGGAATTAGCTTGTGTAATTGTGCCGATGCACATGGTGGTGTCATTATTCTGTTAAATAACTTTTAAAAAAAGCAGTATGGTCCTTAAATATTCCCTAGATGGTGAAGTACATTCAGCAGTTCTGCTCCAATCCTCTCCAAGCCACCTGAGATGCCACCATTCAGTACGCCATGGCCCCGAGCTTTTTAAGGATGTGGACCTGCCGGCCTGGCTGGCGTTACCATCCCCAGCAGAGAATGGTAACGCCGTCGTTTTACCTTTGAAGAGAGCCGGGGTTTCAGCATTCAGCATCCTGATATTTAAATGTGAAAGATCCGATTTCCCAATTCGGTTCTTCACATTAGCTAATCAGCTACATCAGTGTTTCCCAACCCGGTCCTTGGGGATCCCCAAACAGTCCACGTTTTTGCTCTCTTTGGCAGGGAGCTGGGAGGGAGCAAAAACATGGACCGGGTTGGGAAACACTGAGCTACATGACGCACAATTCAGTTTCCCATGCCATTCGTTTATATACGACCATGCCAGACATAGTTCTCTGTGCAGCACAAAACATTAGACTAAATCATTTATAATGCATATTTACAAGTACTCGGGGAGGGAAGATATATGCCCTACGTGTAAATATACTTCTGTTGGCTAATTCTGTTGTGACTGGGCCCTGCCTAACAGCAGCAACCTCATAAACGACTAGGCAGGTCCCAGACAAATATATTTAGTATATGACTGCAATGCTGACAGGCTGGCAAATTTAGCAAACGGCAAAGTGTGCTGTTCCGCGTGTTTACAGGCCCCATGATTCAGCCTGCTGTGAGTGACAGTGACGTGGCCTTCCCCCCCGCAGCCGGCCACAGCCTCGGCCCTCCGTACCGACCACAGGCTGGAAGGTAACTCCCGGCGTAAATCTGCGCTCTCCTGTTGGATTCCATCTTCGAGACGTCTTCGGGTCATTTTGGGTCACACCTGGAATGTCACAATTCCTGTACAAATCATGTCATCTGTGGGTTATGTGCTTTTTTTCCTTTTGTTTCATGATCACCCCCACCCCCCCGAAAGACCCATCTACATTCCAGCGAAGCTGATCCCCTGACCATGGACATTTGCCACATGATACTACATAACTGAGCACATGACCTTGGCATTGTTGAGGCGTTGGGGGGGGGGGGGCAACAGGAGCTGGGAGGAGCTCCGAAAGGATTATCCAGCAGACATGCAACTCCCCCCGCCATGAACATCGCCGTACCACAATCATAGTGCTCCTCACTTCACTCTTCTGCATGGATGTACACACTCGCCTTCACGGTCTACACATGATAGGGGAGAAACCTAATGTTAAATGACAGATAAAGATCGTTGTGACAGATGTTTCCAGAAAAACTCGGTAAATACAGGCCGGGCCTGCATGTGTTTCACATTACTGGGCCAGTTCGCACGAGAGTGAAGGAGTATGGTCCTTGGAGCGGAGGGAAGAACTTTAAGAAGATTTCACTGCTCCTCTGACGGTCCTATACGTACTGCCTTCGCTTATACGCAAACTGAGGTTATATGCCGCCGAGGACTAGGAGGGAAATAGCCGGCCCATCTATTCCCGCCATTTTCACTCTGGCGAGACGTGACCCAGTGAAGGGGTTCTGAGCGTGGCCCGGCCTGGCCCAGCTGTGGCCCCTCCGCGATTACCCAGCAGCCTGTGGGCCCTCCGCGTGGCCCCTCCGCGTGGCCCCAGGGGGCGATCTGCACTGGTTCAGTAATGGGGTTTGTAGTGGTTCCGGCCAGCTGCTGTGGTCCGCCTTCTCGGGGGCCACCCACCTCAGCGCTGCCTCCGCGCTTCCCGCAGCAGAGGCCGTGACGCTGGGGGGCCCTGGGGGTGAGGGCAGGAAACCGGAGACGGGGGCTCTGCGGCCACAAAGTGCAGGAGTTTCTCAACCCTGCGTGACGACTCTGAAAGATTGCTTTGGTAGTAATCCCTGGGCGGTCTCCAAACTCTACTTTAGTAAACGTGCTTTTACGTGGGCCTTTGTACTCCTTGACAGTGACACCTTTCAGTCTGCGCCTGGAACCACAAAGATGGCGTTTCGCTAATATAATGCCGGGGTGTTTCTCAATACCAAGAACGCAAAGATCGTACTTGTGGCCCTGGCAAGACTAGTCTTGCAAACTTGCGTCCCTGGAACGAACTTGGGGCGCAATGAATCGGGGGATTGGTCTCGTTTGGCGAGGATACAACTAAGGTATCCTTGATATTTAGGGTGGGGCAAGACCAACATCTGGGGATTTTTACTGTCCTCTGTACTTCTGTTCTTAGTATTGGAACTGGTCTTTGGCAATGGACAATGATGTAAATCAGGTACACGAGAACACAAGTTAGGTGAAGCACGCACATTGAGAAATGCCCCTGGCTTACCTTAAAAAGCTATGACCTACTTTGAATTGCATTTGAGTTGTTTGAATGATGCTGTATAAATAAAGTTTGATTGACTGACTGATTGATACTGTGACCTACTCTCATTTTTACAACATGTGACTCGCAAACATTTGCCAATTGGCTCTTGATGGCTGAACGACCTCTCTCAACTCCTGCTTTGTATTAGTGCACTGTAGGTTCTACAGGACTGTGCCCCCCCCCCCCCCAAAGAGGAGCTATAGTGCTGACACAGGGAAAAGGGGCTTTCCAAAATCTTCTTTAACCCAACCGAGGCCTCCATTCTGGTTTAACGAACGCACGCGTCCTTTAAGGACAGAGAAACGTTTGAAGATCCAAACGCAAAGAGCTGACAGCTTTCACAAAGCAAATGTGAATGCGGGGTGGGGGATTTGCTCCAGTTTTTCTTACAGAAAGTATGATGAAGACCACATGTCCTTCCTGGATGTGCTATAAATAACATACGCATGTTTGTTTGAAGTCACATATGGACAACTTATGTGACGTCCAACGTAGAACCTTCCATCCCAAGTGTACTGTCCCGAAATGCATTGTTCCGCCGTCCCGCACAGCCATTGGCTACACCGTCCCCAGCCAGGTAAGCGTGGGAACAAGCGCGTTTCGATCAGTTCGAATGACAAGTGATCGATCGCCGTGGCGATGGCTTTACTGCACCGCTGGGCGTCTTGCGTGACCAGATGGCCTCCCTGCAATGTAGGAGCCCCCCTCATAGTCCCTGTGACCTCCAGCGACCTCTTGCAGGATTAAAAATCCAACTTCATTTACCAACCCACCCCTTCACTTCTCAACGGCCATCATCCATTTCAAAACTATTAAACAGGGGTGTCTGCATTACAGAAAATAATGCATAATGTTTAATTGTAGGTGGCGAGCAATTGGTGTACTTTCCAGTGACATCTCATTATGCCAGTCATATAAGACTGACTCTTTTCAGAGTCCTACAGGAAAAGAACATTTCAGTGGCAGCAGTGGGAAGAGGGGGGGATTTGAAATCATTGCAAATTAGCAGCGACGGGGGATGATTAAATTCCATCACAGACTGAAGTAATTAAACTAAGAGACGTGGGACGTTCAAAAGATATCACAGAGTTTCAGTAAGAGCTTGTGAGTCAGATCGGCCACTTGAAGCAGCTCGAGCAGAAGCCCACCCCTTACACACGAAGGCACATCACCCCCCACACATGACATCACCCCCCCCCACACACACACACACACTTTTTATAATCATGGGGTCAATAAGCACCTGAAAGCAGGCCCCTAATTTGGAGAGGCTCTCTCGTAAACAGCCGTCAGCGCCACTTCAAAAACATTTACATTTCCAATGGGTCCTGCTCCCTTCCTATGTGCCGTAACCCATAAGGCTCAGGTCTGTGACACATCTCATCCCCCCACCCAGTCTGGGGGGGGGTTCAAAGGAAATCCCTCCAATGAAGAGGTGGCGTGGCCCACTAAATAATATAATACATGTAACATTTACAGGCGATAGATCATGTAACGAATGTTTACATTTAGCTATGACAAAACAGGGTTTTCAAACAAACATACTTTAATAATATTTTTTTAATGTTTGTTGAACACCTGTAATCTTCGATAAACATAAATAGATCACTTTGGGAAAGACTTGCAGAGTGTATTTTAAAAGCATTCATGTGTTTTACATTGAAATTACCGGTGAAAGTGTGTGTGTGTGTGTATGTGTGTGTGTGTGTGTGTGTGTGTGTGTGCGTGGATTAGATTTATATTACTTTTTGGGGACCAACTGTCCCCGAAAATGTAATAACAACCTGTTTTTTTGTGGGGTCTCCACAAAGATTTGTGCCTGCAATCAAAAAAGTGAAAATGCCAAAAGTCTCAGATTTTGGTTACTTATGGTTACGGTTAAGGTTGGGTAGGGTTAAGATCGTCATGTTAGGGTAAGAGTTTTCCACATATCAATGAAGGGATAGTCCCCACAAAGATATAATCCGGGGTGCACATAACTGGTACACTGGTACCCGTGTGTGTGTGTATGTGTGTGTGTGTGTGTGTGTGGTTATGTATATACTGCGTTGTAGGAACCTGTTATTTTGACGTCGTGGGGACATTTTTTTTGGTAAAAATTTCAATTTATAAACGTACAAATATATTTATAAATGTATAATAAAATACATTTACATATATCTATAAAAATTTGTGACTGCAATCAAAAAACTAAAAATGCCCAAAGTCCTGTATATTCTTTGGTTACTTATAGTTAAGGTTAGGTCTGGGTCGGGGTTAAGGTCGTCATTGTTGGGATTAGGCCCAAAAGCCCAAAGCAAAGGGATGATGGATGCAGAGGTGGGTAGTCCAGGTCCAATGAGTAATATCCAGACCAAGATTTTATTTCAACCAACCAGCTGAGTCCTCTGTGACTGTGACTGTTTATGCTCAACTGGCTGGTTGAAAGAAAATCTTAGTCTGCATATTAATCATCGGACCTGGACTACCCACCTCTGCATCCATCATCCCTTTGCTTTGCATGCACATCTGAAACATTTCCACATGTGCCCCAGTCAAAGTGTGTGTTTGGCATCGTCTGACTGACACAGACCAAAGACACTAAGGACATTAAGGCAGGGCACTTACGCCTGGCCGCTGAGACACCGAGAGCCACTGTCGCGTCGCGGTGAAGGACAGACCGCGGGAGCTTGTATGTGCTCTTTCGGACACTCACTTAATTTCCCCTCTCCATCTGATGAGCAGCTAATCATTATAATATTTCCCATCATGCAAATGAAATGAGTAAGATCTCCGCCTTAATTTTTGCACTGGTACGTGTGCACCTATTCATTAACTTTATTAAATATTCAGCATGTTAAATATTTAATCTGTTGTGCCGGCTATATTAGACATTTCATTCTGCTTCATACAAAGACTCGCACGCATTACCCAGTTAACAGCTGTTTCTCGTGTGTATTAGATGCACACCGCGCGTATAATGACAATGACATGGATATTATGAATACTTTAAATACACGGGGTGGCGAAAGAGGGGGGCTGATGTGCATACCAATGGTTATCCTGAGTAAACGAGAGGCACAGAAGCTTCTGGAGAAAAAAAAAATTATAAAACGCTGTCAGCAAGGTAACAAGCAAAAAAAAACACCCAGAGATACGGACAGGCCGACGCCCACAAAGGAGGGTCCAATACGGACAGGCCGACGCCCACAAAGGAGGGTCCAATACGGACAGGCCGACGCCCACAAAGGAGGGTCCAATACGAAGCCCATGGTCCAATGCGACGGCGCGCTTGGTGGAACTAGGAGTGGCAGGCTATTGGGTCAGCGAGGGCGTCTATGCTGAGCTACCAACATGCAGAGAAAGGCCACCTACCAGTACTCACCCCTCCCTAACGGGGAGACAGACAGGGGGGGGGGGGGCATGACCCCGGGAGATCTGTCCCACACTACTGTTTTCATGCAGGTGTAAAATGACACCCCCACTGCATTTATGGGTCCCAGAATCCCCAATATCTTACCTGCGCTTTCTCTTTCCAGCTCTGGAACACTGATTTCCCGACTGACTTCAGTCCTCGATGAACTCATGCTTATCGACACGCTTCTTTTGAGTTGGTCGCTTTGACCGGAATGATGTCATCGCGGCACAGGGGACCGTTACCAAAGTACCTCAAAATTTCCGTCCTGTTAATGCAAACGGAAGTTAATGAATCACAACCAAGGTAACGATAAACTGAGTCAATGTCTATTTCCAAACAAATGTGCTGTGATATCTTTTGCAAATTTTATAGTAAACAGTAGTTTTAAAAATTATGTTTGCATATCGCCGAGCTGTAAATACTATAAAGTAAATCAAAACAGTAAATGCATCAAAAAAAGGCTTTACATACAGTATTAAGGGATGAGTTATTTCGATGAAACAAGCAAAACAATTTTAAATAGAGCACCTGGGTGGGGGGTCCACTTCATTGGTTTCCATGCATGGAAAATGGGTCGAACGCTCACTAATTGCTCAGACAGGCATTTTGCTGGACACCACATTGTTGGGGGCCTCGACTGGCTCCGTGCTATGGGCCCACGTGGGCTTTTGTTTAATGCCCGGCGCATCCTGTTGTCCCCGTCGGGCGTCTAGCACCAGCTCTCCTGCTTTGGCAGCGTGTAAAGATGACGGCCGGCTTGGCGGGGGCGGCAGAGTGGCCCGTGAGATCCGTGTTGCCGTGCCGCTGCCTGACCATTCTGTTAATAAAAACAAAAAGACTGAAATTTACCTTCTTTTAATCCAATAGATTCACATATATTTAAGATGCCCGTAAAGTCGCATATATGTATATATAGACAGGTAATCTGTGTTTGGCAAATTGCAAAATCTGTATTATGTTACTCAGACTGTTTGTTCGCTCTTGTGTTTAAACAGCGTAAGCAAATTGCAGCCCTTCCAACGACGGGATTTTTGGATCAATGCGCATCTGGTTTGCCCATGAGGATAAGGCAGGTATTTCACCGTTTAAAGAGCTTTAGTCTCTCCCCGGAGCCCAATTTCTGCACTCAGGCACAGCTGCCGAGCTTTATTTCCTCTCGTTCAGTCCAGTCCACGGCTCCCCGGGCTCAAACTAAAGCGAGCTGGCTGGGGGCGTCCCGAGATGCCTGTTTAAAATGTCACTGGCTGTGGGAGTCGCGTGGAAAATACCAACCCCACCCCCTGTGATGCGTACTATGGGTCCCAGGCGTTTACGCGAGGGTCCGAGGTGCGAATAAAAGCGCGGCTGCCTGGAAGGCAGATCTCTCTGAAGCCGCCTCTGATTTACAAAAATAAATAAATAAATAATAATATCGATTTGAAAAAAATCAGTGTGGGACCTTTTTTTATCATTTGGCAAGCAAAATTAATAGCTTTCCAAAACACTTCAGATATATTACATATTTAAATGCAGCAAACATGTTTCCACTAATTCTGCTCAATTTTCTTTTGGATTTGAAATGTAAGGCTCCGATAACCCTCCACCCCCGGACGGGGAATGTTTTTGGTCACCCTGAAAGCTCCGCTAACTCACTTTACAGTTATAGCTATCCACCTTTATTTTAAGCAGATCGCGGCAGTTCTGCTCATTTACTGGCTGCATCGTGCTCGGTTTACAAGGCCGGCTGCTGAAGGCCACTACAGAGGAGGCGTCCCGGTGATCGGTGTCCATGGCCGTCCTGTGACTTTTGACAAATCCACATGAAAAGGGATATCTGCTCAGGGACAAACACCTGCCCCCCCCCGCTTTTAAGCATATGGAGGCTGTTATCCGGCTCAGAGGTCAAAGGTCAGTGTAGAGAACAAGGCAGGGGGTCAGAGTTCGCCAAGGCTTAATGGCCCAGGGCTACTAAAATATTAATAGAGCCACTAAAAGTCTGACCTGGCTGGATTCTGGCTTTCAGCCGCCTATTGTCCAGTGGGGTCCCCGGGGCCGGACAGCAGGGGGCTTCCAGGGCTGATCCGACTCGTCCCCCCCCCCATGCGGTGTCTGTGAGCGAGCCCCCAGGAGCTCCGCCCACGACCAGCCCGCTCCTGCTGCTCCATTGTGAGTTGCTCCCCCTTCCCCTGGCACGATGGGGGGGCCCTCGCTCCACGTGTCTTCTGTCTTCCCCACCCCCCCACCAAGACACTCTGTGTCAGATAGTGGAAGCATAGAGAGATAGAAGAAGCTGCGATTAGCCAAACATTTCAGTATTTTATATTGCATGTTGCATGTGATTCTGGCGCAGGGCATGAAGAGTTTCGGCAGTGGTTCAGACGTACCGAGTCCATGGTTCTGATTCCATGGTTAGCATTAGTGATGTCTGTAATAGTGTAATTAGTAATGGTACTAAAAAAGTGTTCCAAAATGCGGTGCCACGGTACCGGTATCCCGTGCAACATTAGTCTGCACAAACGCTGAGGTATTTGGTAAAATATCTCATCTCAGTCATCTCCATCTCAGGGTTCCAGGGTCAAAGATGGCCGCTTATTTCAGCAGTGGTTTGAAAATCTTAAAACCAGAGAATCCGCCGCACAGATATTGACGAACCTCTGTCAAGCTCTTCGGCCGTTCGAGAAGCAAAGTCCACAGTGAGAATTACACTGCAGACACGCTACAGAAATACTCAGCTCTCGAAGGAGTCAATAAAAATACACACATGTACTAAAAGCAACTGCACTGCGAGAGATGTCGCGTAAATTAATTGTGAAGTGCAGAAATTTTTTATACCGTTTTCTCCCGACACGGTGCATTTTTATTAACATCATGACAGATAACAAAACGTGACGAGCGCTCAGTTAAAAGGACATGGGTGGAATTAATGGCCATTCCACCTTAAGCATCCTCAAAATGCCAGGATTTAATTTAAGGCACTTCTGCGGGCACCTAATGTTACGGCACACAGTAAAACCGGGAGGCTTGAAGGCAGATGACAGTTAATTTAGGAATCCCCTTAGCTGTGAAACCCTTATAGCCGGACACTAAATATTACAATGATCCCAACTTTTATAATAAGCTCATTTTATTACACATCACTGTAAAACCAAGACTGGACATTCATGAAATACACCTTTCCATCTCAAATGGAAAGTTCATTTCTCTAGAGTTCATTTAGTTGTAGACTACAGATGAGAAAAAGTTAAATTTCTTAAAAATGGGTTTATTTGCCGCGGACTGGAGTCCTGTCCTGGGTGAACCCCTGCCTTATTGCATGTGTTTCCTGGGAGAAGATCCAAACTCATTTTGAGTCTGCACTGAATAAACTGATGGATAAAATCATTATTAAGCTCTCCTCAGTCAGGCCTCTGGAAGATATTAGTCCTGTTTAGAGATATTTACATTTAATTTGTTTAGCAGATGCATTTACATAAAGTAACATATAATTGAGGAAGCAGGGGTCAGACAGGGTCTGGAGTGACGGGGGCTGAGAGAGAGGGGCTCATTGGTGACATCACCGATGCCGGCATTTGAACTGGTGACCTTCTGATCACAAGCACAGCAAGTTAACCTACTGAGCCAGACAGAAGATTCTTACATTGCCCTACAAACCAGGCAGTGATGGTCAGGAGGACCGCGTGTGTGCCGACCACGGGACTCTGAGGAGACTGCGGTTACCTTTCAGCTGGGGGTTCGCGGCACCCCCCCACCCCCCCCCGCCCCGGGTTCTTGGCTTGATTCGGCCCTTACTCCTCGTCATTAATCAGACGTGGCTTTTGTTTTTGTTTTTGTGACGACCTCAAAGCTTTCAGGAGAGAAGCGTGACAAGACACTCATTTCCCTGGAAGGAAGGATCTCCCCCAAAGCTGCTGTTTGTTGTGGCGCGGAGATCTTTCAAGTCCGCACTGCGAGCCAGAGCCTTGATGGCATTATTTAAAGTGAACAGTGGGAAAGCCGAGCATCTAAAGCGGTAATGAGCATTTACAGACAGAAAAGCTTATCCTTATACCATATTAAGGCAGCAGAGATGCCTTTGAAAACACAAGAGAATATTTGATAATAGGTTCAACATTTTCTAGCAATTATCTATCTATCTATCTATCTATCATCTATCTATCTACCATCTATCTACCTGTTTCTGTCTAAGATGCATTACCATTATGAAACACAGACACGCCCGGACATAGCAGATCTTTCATGTTGCACTGAGCTGTTTTCCAGATCCGCAGCAGCAGAGTAGGATCCTGGTGACTGGCTTTGAACGTTTGGGGTGACTTTGGAAGAAAAGCTCAAATTACTGTGATATAATCTCTTCATAAACCCCCCCCACCCCCAGCCGGTGACAGCTCAACAACCAGAGGTCTGAGGTTCAGGTCTGAATGTCTGGAACCCAGGCATTAATGTCCCGCCCCTTCCAAAACAATAAAATCAGCATTCTGACTGAAGGCGTCCGCGGAACCGGAGCTGCGCGGAGCCGGAACGCCGAGGCCTGGCTGGCGGACGGCCGCGCCGGTGTGCACCGGCTAGAAGTGGAGCCGCTCGCGCTGGGGTCACACAGGTCACCAAACAGGCAAAACAATAACAAAGCTGAGCCAATAATAGGCCAGTTATCCTTAGCTAGCCTGAGGGAATCTATAAAAAAGGTGTCAATTATAAATAATGATGTCATTCGGTTAATAGGAGCAGTTAAGCATGCATCAGAATTACGGTCCCGTGCAGTTGGAGGGGCAGGCGGTCTACCGCCAACCCAACCCAGCCCAGGTCCCAGAACCGAGCCCAGGATCGTCACAGCCCCCCACCCCACCCCACCCCACCCCCGCGTGACCGATAACAGCCAGTGGTTAATTGCGGTCAAACATACTGGGAATGGCAGTGGTGACGAGCTCTAAAAACTGAATGCCTCCCCCCGCCCCAAAATAAAAAAAAAAATTGCAAAAGGGACCCCTTTTGTCACGCAGAAATAAAACAATAACAAAACAAACAGGAATGACGTAGTGTTTGACACACCTTAAAGGAGATGATATTGGGAATAAGAATGCAGTTGATCACACGAGGGCGAATCTCTCACTACAGGCCCCCCTCCCCCAAAAAATCGAGCCGCAGTGAACCTGCGGTGAATGTGCCCCAACCTTGCTGCCCATTGTGACTTTCACTCCGCATTTCCACCAGATGGCCACTAGGGGGCTCTTTCCTTGCACGACATCCATAAAACACGAAGGAGTGGGACAGCAGCACTGCAGGGCCTCTCCGATGTGCTATTTGTTACACAAGGTGACTTTAAAAAAGGAATTCCGGGCCTCCTCCCGAATTCATACATTTTACAGGAGAACACGGCCGCGGATGAAAAATGAGTTTAGTGCGTCAGTGTGGTCCCAGGCCGCTCTCCCCGGTTTGTAAACTACTGCATAAATCATTGTTACAGGAACTGTGAATGCCACAGACATCACCGTGTCTGAGATGTATGAAACTCAAACCACACGTCATTCTGAGGCATCAATCAGCCGAGCTTTGCAGAGTAATGCGACACAGAGAGTTAAATGCCCGTACTCGCATCTTTTGCGATAAAAACATAACTGCACTGTGGGTGTATAGTGTTTCCTAAATCATAAATCATTAATCACATTAGCCTTTGTGTTCAAGCGCACAATGAAAAGTAGGGTGACTAAAAAACAGATGATTTACAATCAATCTGTGATAGTTTGTTGGAAGTGGTTAGGTCTATTCCTACATCCTGCTCAACAATCGCTCGTTTAAAAATAACAAAAACAAAAACGCCGCCGTAACCGTTTCCTCTGCGCGTCGCCATTAAATTTGGGAGCCCAATGCCGATGTGAGGCTTGATACCTGCGAAATCCATCGGGATTGACTAGGCGGCCTGGGGGAACTGACTCACAGCGGGGTTACCTTACAGCCAACGGCTGCTGCTGCTTCAAAGCGGAGCCTCCCCCATTTATTTTGGTCATGTGACACTCGGTGAACCGCGAACGCCCGTCTGGACACGCTCTCTTCAGCTGTCGGCAGCGAAACCTGCAGTCTGCGCATTAACCCACAGATCTACTTTTGCTCTGACGAAACTTTGCGCATGACGAGCCCGTGTTTGCAAAGCCACATGCGTGTGGTTCTCATACACTGTGTGGGCTGCAACTCTGTGCTTGTGATCAGAAGATCGTTGGTTCAGATCCCAGGGTTGCTACCCTTAACCCCTAATTGCTCCCGAGACTAGCTGAGCCGGCTCTCCCAAAAAATGCATATTGCTCAGGATAAAACATCTACCAAATAAATGTAAAATACTGTTTTTTTTCATACGCCACAGAGCATATTTTGCAATGTTTCTGTTTGTTTGTGGCTTTTGCTCTCTCTCCACGTCCAGAAAAGCAGCCAAGAGGTTAAAAGTACAAAAAATAGTGTTGTGGGAATGACTCGTTCTAAAAAAGTGCAACGGGGCCTTAAAAATAGCTGCAGGCCGCTATCCGCCCACTTACTCTGCCTCCCACCCATTCCTCTGTCTTCTATAAACTCTTATCCAAATGCTGGGGTCACAGAGGCTGGAGCCTATCCCATGATGCACAGGGTGCACCTTGGCCTGATACCAGCCCATTGGAGGGTTACGGCCCTCACATAAGCAAACAGCAGACAGTCACCCTATAATTAACCTGGGCATTCTGCTACTAGACATAAATGCATTGCATGTTTAAAAATTACATATAAAAGATTTTGCTCTCACCAGCTGGATAAGAATCACCAGTGTGGGATTGAGACTCTCTGTGAGAACGAAGCTGCACAGAGACTCATAGCAGTTTGATGATTGTACACCGCTCTGGAGTCCTGAACATGGGAAGCCTCCAGTCTGTTAATTAGACTGGTCATACTGGGAAGCGGCTTTCTTAGGCAGACTGGTGATTTAGGGCCGAGTCGGCAGCCGCGATCATGGGTGTGAGCCCATGCTATCCGTAACAAACAGGTAAACAGCTGAAGAGCCACATCAGGAATTCCGGAAGGTTCTCCAGATCGGCCCAGCCAATCAGCATTCTGGAGCAAAGCTATCGAACGGCTGAGAGGGCAGAAACGCAGGAGTCCGTCTCCGTGAGTGACAATGCAGAGTATGGGGGCGGACAGGCAGCCAAGGGTGTTACGGATTGATAGAGGCTTTTACGGGCTTCGATTTCGGTCTGTCCGTAGCACTATTAATCACGCCCACCTGCTCGAAAACTTT